GGGCCCACTTAAGGTTTTTCCTGTACTATTTTGGTAACTTCTGGGTTCCTGGAGCAAATATGTCACTGATACTGAGGGATGATTAGGTTAATTACCACAGACGCTAAATGGTGATATAAGTTCTGGGAGAAACAAATGTGTTGTGATGAGGTCGTGTACCAATGGTATAGAGTTATAGAGAGTAGGGTAATTAAGAAAAGCTTCTTAAGGAAGTTTCTTTTAAGTATGGCCTATGTGTGTGTAAAAGTAGACAGGGGGAAGGTGTTACAGGTGGAAGTTTGAGAAGGTGCAAATGTCCTGAAGTCCCAGTGTACTTGGTTTTCTGTAGGAAACATGCGAAAGCCACTGGGGCTACAGAGCTGGCAGGGGCTGGGTAATGGATTCGGAGATGAAGCATGGAACGGTCCTGTGAGCTTTTATAACCAAATTAGAGTCTGAATCATATACTAAGAAAAAAAGGAAGGTTAGGGGCCAGTGTTGTGGCATAGCTGGTAAAGCCACCACCTGCAGTGCCAGCATAACATGTGGGCACCGGTTCAAGTCCTGGCTGCTCCACTTCCAATCCAGCTCTCTGAAAGACCTGGCAAAGCAGTAGAAGATGGCCCAAGTGCTTGTGCCCCTGCACCTGCATGGGAAACCTGGAGGGAGCTCCTGTCTCCTGGCTTCAGACTGGTGTAGCTCCGGCCATTGTGTCCATCTGGGAGAGTGAACCAGAGGATGGAAGACCTCTTTCTTCCTTTATCTCTCTCTCTCTCTGCCTCTCTATAACTCTGCCTTTCAAACAAATAGGAAAATCTTTTTTTTTAAAAAAAGGAAAAGAGCCGGCGCCATGGCTCACTAGGCTAATCCTCTGCCTTGCGGCGCCGGCACACCGGCTTCTAGTCCTGGTCGGGGTACCAGATTCTGTCCTGGTTGCCCCTCTTCCTGGCCAGCTCTCTGCTGTGGCCAGGGAGTGCAGTGGAGGATGGCCCAAGTGCTTGGGCCCTGCACCCCATGGAAGACCAGGAGAAGCACCTGGCTCCTGCCATGGGATCAGCGCGGTGTGCCGGCCGCGGCGGCCATTGGAGGGTGAACCAATGGCAAAGGAAGACCTTTCTCTCTGTTTCTCTCTCTCACTGTCCACTCTGCCTGTCAAAAATTTTAAAAAAAGGAAAAGAAAAGAAAAATGGAAGATTAAATAGCAGATTGATTTTTAAGAATTTCATTTCAGAAATAATTTCTCTCCAGTTAAGCAGAGGCAGTCTGGAGAGTTGTGGGGTTGGGGGAGTCATCAAGATGGAAAATACCCTTGAGTAAAAGACTAAAATTTCATCCAGAAGCAAAGAGCTTGTGTCAACATCTGGAAAGAGCAAAACAAGAGAAATGACAGAAGCAAGTCACATCTCACAAGAGGGCATCTGGAAATTAGCATCCCAATACTGGTCCCCACTTACTTCAAGGAGTGAATGCCCTAAATTCTAGAGAGTTACCATCAACAGGCTTTCTTCGTGATCCTAATCCTTAATCAGCTCTGTGGGTTCTGAACATGCCCTTGGGATGGCAAAGAATGTGTCACAGATGGGACCATAAGCAAGCACTGCAAACAGTGAGGAATGCAGGGTGGAGAATATAGAATGCAGAAACTGCTTATTGGGAGTATATGAGAATGGGGATCCTGTGTCCACTCCTGCAATGTGGAGGGACATAACCTCAACACCATGGATGGGTTTACATAGATATTTTGACATTTTGGCATTTATTCCTATATCTCCACCACCAGTTAAGTTAATAATGCTTTCATTTTGGGTCTTAAATATTTATTTTATTTGCTTGAAAGGCAGGGTCACAGACAATGAGAGAGGGAGAGAGGGAGAGAGGAAGGGGGAGAGAGAGGGAGGGAGGGAGGGAGAGCGAGCTTCCATTTGCTGGTTCACTCTCCAAATGGCTGCAATGACCACAGTTGGCCAGGCTGAAATCAGGAACCAAGAACTCCATCCAAGTCAACCTACATGTGTAGCTGGGGTCCTAACATGCACCCATTTACAAAGTTTCATCGGTATAATCAATACTGTGGTCCAAATTGGAATTTTATCTAGAGACCTCAATAAGTTTAATCAGAGAATCATGTATGATTTTAGGAAAATTATCAAGCATAAAACAGAAGTAACTTATTTACATTTTACACTTCACTTTAATTATAACATTACTTCAATTTTCCATAGTTAAATGGACCCACTTATTTCATAGGAGGCAGAGAGTCTCTAACTCCATGAGTACAAATTCAAAGTAAATAAGTTTGTGGAAGCTATAACTTAGCTAGATAAAACAGGACTTCACAGACCCCAAATTAAAAATAATTAAGATGGTCCAATATTGGCCGGCACTGTGGCTCACTAGGCTAATCCTCCGCCTTGCAGCACTGACACACCGGATTCTAGTCCCGGTCAGGGCACCGGATTCTCTCCCGGTTGCCCCTCTTCCATGCCAGCTCTCTGCTGTGGCCCGGGAGTGCAGTGGAGGATGGCCCAAGTGCTTGGGCCCTGCACCCCATGGGAGACCAGGATAAGTACCTGGCTCCTGCCATTGGATCAGTGTGGTGCACCAGCTGCAGTGCACCAGCCATGGCGGCCATTGGAGGGTGAACCAACGGCAAAAGGAAGACCTTTCTCTCTGTCTCTCTCTCTCTCTCACTACCCACTCTGCCAGTCAAAAAAAAAAAAAAAAAGATGGTCCAATATAAAGAAACTCAAGGCCTTCAAGGAGTGCAATTTATGATGAAAGACTTAATTAACAAAGGGGTGATTAGTGCCACATCTTTCCCTTGCAGCCCAAGTTTTCCTGTTCTTAAACCTGGAAAGTATACCATACAATAAGTAACTGAGTAGATGTCTTGATATTTCTAAGTAGAGCAACATGCTGTTCAGTGGTTTTTCAAAAGCCTCTCAGTTTGCCTTCACCTTAAAGGTGACAATCATGATAAAAATGAGTGCAAAATAACAGGCGCCTTAGCTGTGAAAACAAAAACAATCAGCCTCCCTGTGCAGAAATAGTGTTTTACCCATGAGAAGAGGCAGGAAAGAACTCCTTGAAAGAGCATGCACAATTATCCTAATTGGCAATAATAAAACACAAGTTGTTAATGGGTTAATAGAAATATTTTATACTTATTTTGTAAAAAAATTGCCATTACTGAAAACAAATAATTTATATATATATATTAAATATTTATGTATTTATTTGAAAGTCAGAGTTACACAGAGAGAGAAAGAGAGGCAGAGAGAGAGAGAGAGATAGAGAGAGAAGGTCTTCCATCTGTTGGTTCAGTCCCCAGTTGGCCACAATGGCCAGAGCTGAGCTGATCTGAAGCCAGGAGCCAGGAGCTTCTTCTGAGTCTCACACATGGGTGCAGCAGCCCAAGGACTTGGGCCATCTTCTACTGCTTTCCCAAGCCATAGCAGAGAGCTGGATTGGAAGTGGAGCAGCTGAGACTTGAACCAGCACCCATAGGGGATGCCGGTGCTTCAGTCCAGGGCTTTAACCCACTGCACCACAGTGCTAGACCCCTTAATAAGCATTTCTAAAAGCAGGTAATTTCTTAGTAAACATATTCAACCACTGTCCACTGTCTTACTAGAGTAATAAGTTGAAAAGCTGAGCGCTTTCCAGGAGCCATCTGTTTTATGTATTCTTTGCTGATTGTTCAGCCTTGAAGATAGCAAAGCTTTATTGAGCCACTTACTTGCAGGTGCACGATAGAGGCATTTCTTAGTCCTTCACAGCATATATGCCTATGCTCATCTCATGTTCAGTCCTCAAAAGGGAATGGCTATAGGCATCTCTGGGGTTTTTCAAGCAAAAAAAAAAAAACTTTTATCTGCATTCCATGGTGATATCATTCCCTCTCTTCCTAAGGAAATCTGAGATCTTCAGCTTCTCACTATCACAAAGGTACAGAAAAGTCCCAGCATACCATCATAGATTTGCTCTCTATACCAGTTCAAGAAAGTAGGTTCTGCAACCCAGGTTGTGTCCACATACTTTATAAAGTGTTTTCCACCTCAATCTGAGATCAGCATACTTGGTATTCTCTCAAATCCTGATATACACATGCCTGCTTGATAATTTGAAGTTCCCAAGCCCTGATTTCTGTTGGAGGATCAATTGTCTTATTTACACCAACAACTAAGTCTTGTATATTTGCTTATCTCCTTCTCATTTTACAAATACAAAAAAAAGAACAAGGGTTGCATTGTGGCATATCAAGTTAAGCTGCTGCCTGCAAAACTGTCATCCCATACAGGAGTGCTACTTTGAGAAAGCTGGTATCCGTGTATGAGACCCAGATGTTGTTCAGGGCTACTGGCTTCAACCAGGAACAGTCCTGGCCATAGTGGCCATTTTCAGAAGAGGCTATTTGTGGAATGAACCAGATGGATTTTTTTTCCCTTTCTGCTTTTCCAATTCTCTCTAACTCTGTGTTTTAAATAAAAATTTCTCTCTAAAAGAAAGAAGAAGAAGGGAGAATACTGGGTACAAACTTGCTTTCCAAACAACCGTTAGCCTTTCAACATGACTGTATGGGGGTCATTTGACCTTGGTAACCCGAATTTCCTGATTCTCTTGGTGAGTCTAGAAACACTCATTTTCATGTTTCTATTCCAGGTCATTCTTAGTGTCATGATGTCTGATGTCACAATACAGATGCTTCCTCCTGGACCTCTTTCTTCATTTTCTTCTTGATTTATTTGTGAGCCAGAGAATGAGAGAAATACACAGAATCCACTCCATTGGTTCACTCTTCAAATGCATGCAAACCATATCATTTTCTTGTTCATATATTTGCAAGTGAGAGACAGAGAGAGAGAGAGAGAATGAGAGAGAGAGAGACAATGAGAGAGCTTCAATTCACTGGTTTAGTTCTCAAATTTATGCAAATGCAAGGCCTGTGCCTGAGCAAAACCAGAGGCAGGGGCTCAATTTCTGCAACTAGTCGGAGAAAAGTGCCCATGAATGGCACATCAATAAGTATTGAAACAATAATTATATGAATAAATTTCTGAATAAAACCAAAATATGAAAGTAGAGAGGATGAGTTAGAATTTAGAGGATGTATCTATCCTAGAAAATAGCCTTATTAGACCCTGAAAGTGATTGCATTTTTGGCAAATCTAAGACAATATTCACCAAATACCGAAAAGCAGCAGATAAATATACACATGAAAGCCTTCCTTAGACAATGGAATGCCTATGTCTGATAAATGACACCAGCTGTTCTTAGGGCAGAGACTTGGGAAAAATTCATAAAAGCTCTACACGGTCGACATGTGCTGAGTGCTTTCTGTCCCAGCCTCCCTGTCCAGTGTTTACTGACTGACCTAGGAAGCTTTGGTTTCCCACCATCTATGGCTCCTCTCCTTGCTCCAACTTGACGATCACCTCAGGTTTGGTACTGCAATATCCTGCGAAAAGGAAAAAAATGCTGAACTTTGTGACCACTAACATATATTTTTGAAGGACAACTTGGTATCAGGAGCTGTGTGACAAAAGTATCAATCTGAATCCTTTCCTCATTTTTCATGGCTTTAAATCTATACCTACACTGCACTAAACGTATAAAGTGTTCATTTATTTATCAAATGGGAAGAAAGTGTTCCATCTGGCAAGAAAGGGGTATGTCACTCACTCAAGGACAGCAGGCTGCTGTAGGTCTCCAACATAATATCCCTGTGCAGGATCCTTTGAGCATGGTCCAGTTCCTGCCATTCCTCTGAGTGAAGTACACAGCCAGCTCTTCAAATGACACCAACATCTATAACAGCACATTTTTCATCAATATATACACTCTGGGTCACTAAGTAGAAAAACTAGACATGCATTCTCCTATGCATATCTGATTTGCTTCTTTTTAAATTTTTATTAATTAATTTTATTAATTTTTATTTATTTAAAAGACAGAGTTACAAAGAGAGGTAGAGACCAAGACAGAGGTCTTCCATCTGCTTGCTCACTCCCCAGAGGGCTGCCACAGCCAGAGCTGCACTGATCAGAAACCAGGAGCTTCCTTGGGTCTTTCATGTGGGTGCAGAGGCCCAAGGACTTGGGCCATCTTATACTGATTTCCCAGGCCATAGCAGAGAGCTAGATCAGAAGGGGAGCAGCAGGGACTCAGACTGGCACCCATGTGGGATGCCAGTGCTTCAGGCCAGGGCTTTAACCCACAGCGCCACAGTTGCTTCTTACATAACATGCAGCTTACTTTGTAAACTACATGGCAACAGGAAGTAAAATCACAATCAATCATAATAGAGTTTCCCTTACTTCTGGAATAGATCTAATTATTCTGAAAGGCGCTCACACTGTAATCTGTTGATGTAAGTATAAACAAATGACTGAAATAACATGTTAGATGATTTACAGGAGAATACATTCACTATCAATCAGGGTAATGAGGAAATTGCTTATAAAATAATTTTCTTCATTATCAGGTTACTGTTCACTGAGGCACGGAATAAGGCTAGATTTTAAGTACAAATTGCATACATAAATATGATCCAAAAAGTCAGTTGGTAAAAGCACAAAAAACACAGACCTGGTAATAGGGCCAAAATTTTCACTACTACTAGGAGTGGTAATGGACTGTGAGAAGAAAAAAATGCAGTTATAGTGTTCAAGGAACTCATAATTAAGTGAACTTTTTCTTATATATTAGACATAATTCCAAAAAAACTTCTCTGATTGATTTCCATAAAGCTGTTTGTAAATTATGTTCCTCAGCACTGTAATATTTCCTCCAACAACTGACAACACAGAATCCTGTATCCTACATAGCACTCATTTATGAACGATTGTGAAATACCGACCTTCCATAACAAACAGTTGAAAGAATTTGTCACCACTCATCCAGGCTTACAAAAAATGCTTAAAGATGTGCTACACAGAAAACATAAAAAGACAATCATTATTATATCAGTAATCTCCCTAGGCTCCAGTCATGAGTTGCCAAGGCTATGGAAGTCTTTTGAGTTCACCGACTCTTATCATATTTAGACAAGGTCATAGTCAAAGTGGAAGTTCTCTCCTCCCTTCAGAGAAAGGTACCTCCTTCTTTGATGACCCGTTCTTTCCACTGGGATCTCACTTGCGGAGATCTTTCATGTAGGTCATTTTTTTGTGTGTGTGTGAAGACACACATTAGTCCATAACAAAACAGACCAGTTTACTGCTTCCTAGGCAACCATCTCTAAGGAAGACCTGGCTTTGAGATGAGTGTTAGCATTTCTCATGGTATCATTGTTGATGCTATTTCGGTCAACATTAGCACATGAGTGGACACACACATGAAACTGTTTTATACAGGTAAAATGAATACAGCAATCCCTTTGGTGATATATTAGCAGACATTGATGATGAAAAGTAGAATGATGAGAAAAATGAATATGTATTATTCAATATTTATAGTGTCTAAAAAATAAATATCAGAAATAAAAGAATACAAAAATTACACCTCATAATCCTCTAGAACAGTCAACACTAGGGGTGATTTCCTAAAACTTGCACATTTTACATCACTGCTACTCAGCACTAATATTTAGGAATATATGGACATGTAGGAAAGGTGCATTCCCCAAAAGTGTGAAGCAAGATTTTTAATTAGGGTTTCTTCTTTTCTCAGCATTATCTACTAAATTAACCACACAGTAAATCATTGTGGGTTTTTCTGATCTTTGACCACTGCTTGTAATACCCAAGAGTTTAAATTTATCATTGGGCATGTCTTTTTCAACACATGCACTGATATTACCAGTTCAGTGAACATGGGGGCCACCTTTATAGGGGTTAAAATAAAGTTTAATATTATAATTATACAGATCCCCTTAATATCTTCACAACTTCCAAGGCACATAAGTAATATTGTGGGTCATTTATAGGAGATGTTCGATTGAGTTTTTTTTTTTTTGTTAACTCACATGTAATTACTGTGTGGACATTAGAAACACAATTCTCAGAACATGCAGCTTTAAAGTTTTTGGCATGACAGGGTGAGTAACTATGTGGACCAGGGTGCTGGTCTGTCCCAGTTGCTCCTCTTCCAGTTCAGCTCTCTGCTGTGGCCCTGAAAGGCAGTGGAGGAGGGCCAAGTGCTTGGGCCCTGCACCTGCATGGGAGACCAGGAGGGAGACCTGGCTCCTGGCTTCAGATCTGCACAGTGTGCTGGCTGTAGCAGCCATTTGGGGAATTAACCAGTGGAAGGAAGACATTTCTCTCTCTCTCTCTCTCTCTCTCTCTCTCTCTCTTCCACTGTCTATCTTTGCTTGTCAAAAAAAAACTATGTGAACCTTCATTCTAGAAATGATAAAATTATTTTAAAAAACTTATTCATTTATGTATTTGAAAGGCAAAGTGACAATGAGAGAAGGAAATATAGAAAGATCCTCCATCCTGCACTTCACTCCCCCAATGTCCTAGGCTTGGCTGGGCCAAAGCCAGAAGCCCAGAATTCCATTTGGGTCTCCCATGCAGGTGGCAAGGGCCATGCACTTGGGGCCATCCTTTGCTGCCATCCCAAGTGTATTATCAGGAAACTGCATCAGAAGCATAATGACTGGGCCTGGAACCAGCACTGTGAAACAGGACGCAAGCCTTGGAAATGGTGGTTCAACCTGCTGTGTCACAGTGCTAACCCTGGTCAAAATTATGGTAAAACAAAAGTAAAGTCTCTAGACATGGTCCTAAAGTTGCAGCAAATTAAGAAATATTTACGGAAGAAAATTTAGTATTTGTTGAAAGCAGGGAGATTCAGTGCCATTTGAATGCAGAGCTGTTTCCTCTCTCCCCTCTCAGAAAACTCCACTCCATACCTGTGGAATGAGAACACTGGGCTCCCTCTCCTGCTAGCTGACAGCTGGGTTCTGTTTCCAGAACTGTGCTCTGAGTGGAGACAGCTGAAAGACTGGAAGCTCAAAACTGAGCTTCCTGCATTTACAGTATTGTCATTCAAGGGCAATGGCAGGATTAGAGAAGAATCAGGATTTTAAGCAGGGTAAATCATGTCTTGGGCACAGAGAAGGAAGTGCACATCAATTCTGACCTTCCCCATTTGGAGAGGAGCAGCAGTAGCAGTGGGAACCCCATGCAACCCTGTGCTGACCTTGTTTTGTCTATAGCAGCATGCAGATCCAGCTCTCAGATTTGTGAAGATGTGTCAGATGGACAGATGGATAAAGGAACAGATGGATTTTCAGGAGTTCCTAGCTGAGTAATTATCAGAGTTGGAATTTTGTATTTCCACAATGAGTTTCAAATGCACCCGACTTGAGACCCGCTATTTTATTCCAATATGTGCACTAGTAGAGTTTTCCCAGGTGTGTAATATGATCCACTGATGCATCGCTGATGATTTCACTACATGAGAGCAAGCATCTTTATAAAGGGTTAGACATGAGTAGCCCTAAGAACCTTGTTTATTTGTTTCAGTGTCTTAAAGTAGAATAGAGTCATTGTTCCTATCCTTGTGCTTTAAGCAAGCATCCATATGAAGTAACAGGGGTTCTATAACTACAACATAACTACCAGAACTTAAATAAAAGTAGTGACAATTATCATCAAGTCTTGTGCTCACTTTTGATTTTCTCCATTCCTCATACGTTTCTTTGAAACATGAGTTTGCTAAGCTAAGATTCTTCAGAATTTGACTTGGATAGCACAGGGTTGCAGGTGAATTCTGATACATCATGTATGCTGTCCAGACAGCAGGACTGAGTACCCAGGAAATAGATGAATCATTCTTATTACCTGATAGGAGGAGTGCCGGGGCTGTGGGAAATGTGTTTTCCCATGCCATGGCGTCACTGGCACAAAACCATGTGAGAAGATTTTTCAGGATCATTCAGAGCATTGGCCATTCTGCTCTCTCCTTTCCTAGAAATTTCAGGCTTTGTGGCCCCCGATGCTGCCTGATGGATTAAATGGATTCTGTATCCCTGAAGGTTGATCCCAGGAGAAAAGGTGATTGTACAGGCCACAGGGGAGCCCTGGGAAGTGGGACATGCATTATCCACTTTTGTGGAGCAGAAACACCCATGATACCCAGGGGGGCGAATCCTGATATTGAGGTGTTAGCCATAAGCCTCAGTCTGTGTGGGAGCACAATGGCATTGGATCCTCTGAACGGGAATCAGGAAAGGGGTTCTGTGGGCTGTGCTTCAAGAGCTTCCCATGTCAGTGGCTGAGATTGTGGTATAGCAGTTAAGCTAAATGACTCTGTGCGCTTTCAGATGTTCAGAAGCTGATTACAGAAGCTCCATGAATGTGGTCGATGCAAGATTGCAGTGGGGCAAGGGGACTGTGCAGACCACATGAGCAGGAAAGTGTGCAGTATGAGTGGTTCAAGCTCAGCCACTGAAGGATCCTGTTACTGACCTGTATAACATTGGTTTATCCATTTGAAGCATGAGGGCATTCCACCTACCAGTAAAATATCTCCCAAATCCTGATCGAAATCACTGTGAAGTGTGTGCAAGATCTATTACTATGGGGCAGTTTGGTTTGTGGAGTCTTTGTGGTGTCTCACCAACAAGTAAAAGGTCTGTTCCATTTCTGTGATGTGTGGCCTGCCCAGTACCTTCCTTGAGTTCATAGAAGTCTATACACAGTGTGGTTTTCATGAGCAGTGGGTTTATGGTGGAAATTAGGGTTCTGGATGAAGATCCTATTTCCTCTCTAACAAAGTGGTTCATGCTGAATGAAGGAGTGGACTCCATCAGTTGGAATCCACATGAAAGGACACCCCTTTGATGCACACCCTCACCC